CTATTCTTATTATTGAATAATAGTAACTGATGTAATAATGAATAAGGTACTGGTATTGAAAACTATTATGAATCATTCAAAGCAGACTGTTATGTTTTAATACCTGACAATCTATAGTTTTTCCCTGTATGGTCAAATTTACTGATATAAATATTTCAAATGTCACTCCAATTCTGTGTGACTTACATATTAAAAAAAAATTAGCTGGGTGTGGTGGCATACATCTGTAATCCCAGCACTTGGGAGGCTGAGGTAGGAGGATCACTGAAAATTTGGGGCCAGCTTGGGCTACAAAAACTGAGTTCAAAGCCAGCCTGATCTGCATAGCGAGATCCTGCCTCAAAAAGGAAAAATAAATTCAAATTTAAAACACAATATCCATACATTTTTAAAATACAACAGATGGCTGGGTGTGATGGTGCATGCCTATAATCCCAACACTCAGAAGGCTGAGGCAGGAGGATTGCTTAGAGTTTAAGGACAGCCTGGGCTACATAGTGAGACCCTGTCTCAAATAACAATTAACTGAGATAAAATTCATATATTATGAAATTCATCTTCTAAAAGTATACTATTTAGGGGCTGGGGATTTAGCTCAGCGGCAAAAGCGCCTGCCTGGCAAGCGCAAGGTCGTGAGTTCGGTTCCCGGTACCAGACTAAAAATAATAATAATAATAAAAGTATACTATTTAGCAGTTTATAGCATACTTACAAAAACTGTGTAATCACCACCGATTTTTAGAATTCCATTAACCCAAGAAGAAAACCCTTACCCATTAGCACTTCGTCCTAACCCTCTTTTCCATCCCTAGCAACCACTAATCTCTCTATCTGTATGAATACACATTTCACATAAATTGAATCATAAACATGTGGTCTTTGTGACTTCCCTTACTTTACATTAAGTTTGGAAAGTCCATCCACGGTGCAGCATGTGCCAATGCCTCACTTCTTTTCATGGTTGAATTCACTGTTCTAAGCATTCTTTTCACTTCCAATTGTAGCACAAGTTATTTTAAGATATGTGCACTGTGAAGATTAAATGATGTAATAGACACAACATTTTTAAAGAAAGTTATACATCCATGGAGACTATACTAAGGCATTTGCCACCATCTCACAATGAGCATTTTACAAGACCTTTTCAGCTGGGCATGGTTGCACTTGTCTATAATTTCAGTGAAGTTTGATGCATGAGGGTTCCATTCCAAGTTTAAGGCCAGCCTGGTAAGTCAGCAAGAACCTATCTCAAAGTTTAAAGTGGCTCAGTGGTAGAACTCTTGTCCAAAGTACTGTTAAATCCCCAGTATTTAAAAATAATGAACTTTTCAGACAGTATCTCTTGAGCTTCACTGTGTTGCAGGAAAAATTCCTCATAGAAGAGATTATAATACCCATCTATTCTGTATAATATTAGTATACTTCAAAAAGAACATTTAGGCCTTTATACTAGCTGGAAATAGAAGTATTAATATTATTCAGTAATTATATAGGACACAGTAGTCACAGTAGTCATGTGCTAAGTGCTTCTTTGCATATAATACCCTTTATCTTCACTACAACTTCACAGCGTAATACTATTATCATTTCATGAATGAGAGAACAATTCACATGTTAGGAAACACATCAAGATCGCAGAAATAAAAAAGCAGAAGGGTAAGAACCCACAGTGTCTGATTCTGTTGCTTTCACGTGGCCTCTACACCTTAATCCTGACTTTGACATAATTAAACATAGGAAAAGTTGCATTCAGTCTTATGTATATATACTCAGAGGATGGCAGCTATAACTTAAAAGGGGATCTTTGCAATGTTCTCCAAACTCCTAGCACACTGATCCATTTCCATAGATGGTGCTGGAGAATGATATGACAATATGGTATTAGAAGACCTTATAGTAAAACTTGAAAAGCTTAGAGGAGAATGCCTTCTACTCTCATCCAATACACCCTGAAGGGTTTAAGCAAAGATATAAATGCCAAGGCCAGATCGACATTTTTATTTATTTAGCAGATTTAAGGATCAGACTTAAAAGACTTGTACATGCCAGCAAGTATTCTACCACTGAACCACACTCCCTGGTCAGATCTTTTTATTTTTCTTTTTTTGACAGGGTCTAACTATGTAGTTCAGGCTGGCCTTGAAGTCACTATGTTGTCCAAGCTGAACTTGTGGTGACCCTCCTGCCTCAGCCTCCTGAGTGCTGGGGTTAACGCAAACCATCATACCCAGAAGATATGTATTTTAAAAGACAGTTTTCTGGTTGCTTGGTAGAGAATGAATCTGAAGGAGGGCAAAACTGGGAAGCAGGAAAACTGAGAGGCACCCCATGCAGAAATGCAGGTCTAGGCAGCGGTGAAAGGAAATGGAGAAGAGGGAACAAAGTTAGCAAACATAACAAATAAAATCAGGAAGCTCTCGTAAAGACGCAAAGGGTAACTCAAGGAAGAAGTGAAAGAAAAGGAACTCAGGGAAAAGTCTATCAACCATGACTAAAGGATTTTAATTTAACTAAAGGCAGTGCCACAAACCGAGACAACGTGTTTAGGGGGAAATGATTAGTTTAATACTGGGTATGTTGAAATTGCTATGACTGAGATTTCTGATGGAGATCACTGGAAACAGACTGGAAGTCATCAGCCTGTCCTGGGGAGCCATTTATCCTTTTAGTAGATGAAATCACCTATGTAAAATTCCAAGAAAACATGGTCCAAATATGAAAATGTATTGAGGGGAGATAAAACTGTGATTACATGACTTTATGTGTTTGTCAAAACTCAAGAGAAACGAATGCTAACAAATTTTACTGCATAACAATTTTGCTCTTGAATCTGACTAAAGAAGGAAAAAAGAAGATAGTGAATAATAGTGTTAAGTAAGGAAGAAGATCAGTAGGAAAACTCTCACCACTGATGAATCAGCTAAGGGAAGATCAGCTCACAAGCTGGCAGCATAAATAGGCTTTGCTAGCTGGCTGGTGAATAGAATATAAAAATGGTAGTCTATTTCTGAGAAGTTTGGATGTGAGGAAGAAGCTTAAGGTAGCTATGCGGTACACGGGTCTGAGGGAGTATTCCTAGCATGGGAGCTATTTCAGCAAGTTTATACAGCGTAAGAAGTCCATGGAGTGCTAGTAAATATACACAAAACTGCAAGAGAAAACCTGCTAAAGACATGATAGATAGGTTTGTAACAAGGGAAGTAAGGTTGAAAAAGGCATAGTCAGTGCCTCCAGCATTCTAAGGAGACACAGTTATGTGTGGCAGGAGGAGGAGGATGGGCAAAATACAGCATTTTACAACACACGATAAAAGGAATGGCTAAATGGGAATATAAATTTGTAGTGGCACTTATACCACACTTATCCTCCTCCAGTACTGTTCTGTCTGCTGGAGTTTAAAAATGGGGAAATGGGTACAATACCATCTTAGTAAGTTTTGTTAGGCAGGTTTCTCTAAAGGGAAAACCAAAAGTAAAGTCTTAGATTTTATAAAAAGAGAGATAAGATGAGGTTTTCCTGATAAGGGTTTTGTTTTGCCCGAAACAGCATGGCTGTAGTACCCCATCTGGTAAGTACAATGGTTATTTGTGGTAAAATGGAGGCAAACTACTAAACCTAGGGAAAAATGGATTAAATTCTGAACAAAATTGTATGTCTATTCATGGAGATGCATAAGTAAGTTAGTCGCCCAGTAAAGAAAATTCTGAGAGCTCTGTTGCAAAGACCTGTGAAAACCGGAGCAATGTGTTTTGTATGAAGTGGCACGAGGGAACGCCACACGGGGCTTGTAGGGAAGCGAGGCGCAGAAGCCTGTCAGAAGTGCCCTCTACAGGCATCTGCACTCAATCTATAGCACAGGGAGTACAGAATCTCACACCGGAGCAGTATTTTCCAGGATTTCACTGTGGGGACCAACATGGAAAAAGTGTACTTTTTAGGTAGCTTTGATGGAAACAGTCTACAAGCTAGGTAGAAAAACCCCTTATCTGTTCAAATCACCCAGAACGAGCCCTCTGCAAAAGTGACTTGAGAGTCAATGTTTTAGGGGTTGCTCTGCTGAGTTTGGTGGCTGACATGGAACCAGGAATGTGTAGGAAGTCTTGTTACCAGTGTTCCAGAATGGATGTCTCCATAGGAATATGATAAATTACAACTGTGTACAGGTTAAGCTGTGGGACACTCAAACCACTGGGGATTTACTTTTGGCCCCAGCAACTAAATCTTTCAGGGATAATTCACATATTTCCTTTATGAAAAATGAGCAAAGGAAGGTAAAAATACATTTCAAAGTTCTCATTACTGCTGTTGGCCTTCAGATGATCATTTTTTAAAAAATGAGTCTTTTTTCATGTTAATCTACTCAAGACAGATTTTTATTTCTCTGGTTTTATGGTTATTGTTTTATTTCTTTAGAAGTACTTTCATAATGTTCACTGTTGAGAATAAAGCATATATTACAGAATTAGTTTTCTCCATTAAAGCATGTTCTCTATAAACTTAAGTCTAAACCAAAAGAGAGTGATTGACCTTTGTTGGCTGATAGATGGTTTATAACATCTCTCAAAATATACAGTCATATCTTCATGTGAGAAATCTTCCATCTTGTAACCTACAGAATTTGGAAATGTTCCTTCAATCTTAGTGAGTTTATGAGAATACAAGTTCAAATTTGGAAACTAGTCTTTATAACCAAGTAGTTTACTTTTTAATATTTTAATTCTCCATATGAGGAGAAATGAAATCTTGGGTTCCTGCTAAGTAGGGACTTTGACCTCAAGAGTCTCATATAAAACTCTGAGACTCCTGAGCTGAGGTAGGAGAATCGTAAGTTTACAGCCAGCATGGGCGACAGAGTGTAAATTTGAGCCTAGCTTGGACTATATACCAAGACTCTGCATAAAAACAAAAAGTGACAATTTTTCCTCAGCAGGAAAACAAAACAAAAAACAAAACCCAAGCCAGTAAGACAACTCAAAGAAAAAATATTTTGTTTCTGCTAGCAGGAGAGAAGACTGCCATCACCCAGAAGAAATCACTAGCCACATCACAGGGAACACTTTCCCATTTTATTTAAGGTAAATGTAGGTTTGGGACATTAAACACAGGTTTGGTTATACCTAGTGCTATGCCCAAGACATGTGGCAGACCAAGTCACTATTATTTCTGTAAGTAGAAAAGTTCAGGTCACATTATATGCATGCTTGACATTCTATAAAATGAATTCCTGGATGACATACGTGGGGAATGCCTTTCCTCAAAGTTGAAACCCTCTTTCTTTCCCATTAAATATATTAAAATATAAAGACTCTCGAGGGCTTCAAAAAAATCAGCCCAATTAATACTGTTATATTGAAATCTTGAAGTGATTTAAGTGGAATAAGTAGTCAAAGAATGGCCAATAATTTGGCCAGCAGTCAGAGTATACTGAAATTATACACAATTTTCATTTTATACAGTGTTATTTTTCAGGCCCCAAGCATCCAGAACTACTGAATTTTGATCCACTCAGGAATGTGAACTAGAACGGTTGCAAGATAAGGGGCAGAGGGCAGAGTGCAGGTGTGTGGAAAAAGGATGGCTGCACTTACTCACTGCATGACACATGGAAATATCGCACTAACCTCATTAATTGTACAATTAATAAATACTGATAAAATTATTTTTAAAAACTGAAAAAACTGAACAAGAAAATGCTTTCCAGCAGAACGAAGAAAAAGAACCAAATCCCTTAGGTCTGACTTTAAGTGAGTATTACTATACAAACTGCTCTGTGTTTGTGTTGCTCATGCATGACGACCTGTTAAAAGCAAGTAGGTTTTAAAATCACCTTTGAAGCACTTCACCCTCAGGCAAGGACAGTAAAAACTATTCTCAAAAGTTGGTACAGGCTGTCATGGTTTTCCTCACAGCGGCCTGCCTTGTTCTCCAGGATGTACTTTTATCTTGTTTTTTCCTCTTTTACTTGGCCCAGTCTTGCTCTGCAGACCAAGTTTCTCTCACTCTTCATTTTTACTTTTTCAAATAAATTTTACCACTGCTTAATAAAAAGTCAGTATTAAAAAAATGATATCCAGAGCTGGGTGTGGTAGTGTACACTGTAGTCCCAGCTACATGGCAGGCCAAGGCAAAGGATCACTTGAGCCCAAAAGTCAGACACCTATTGAAAGAAAAGAAAAGAGAAGAAAAGAAAAAGGAAAAAAGAAAGAAAAAGGAGAGAGAAAGAGGGAGGGAAAGAAAAAGAAAGAGAGGGGAGGTGGAAGGAAAGGAGAGAGGGAGG